TTGTTCGGTAGATTTTGATCTTTTTTCATGTATTGATAGAATGATTTATTTGGTTCTTTATATTTTTGAGGTTTATTTTGATTGTCTTGCTGTTTTTGTCATCATTCGGAAATACTATGTCCGTATCGTCGGCAATAATTACACCATTTTTTGAAAGATGGTTTGCCTTTGAAGTTTGGGTTCTTTTCATAAATATTGAGTATTTCAGTGATTTTTTCAACGAGGTCTGTCTCTGATTCCTGTATATTATTAATATTAGTGGGAGTCGTTTCAATTCTGTTAACGTATTGTAGTTTCAGATTTTCCGTTTCTTCTAGTTTCATCGTGATTTCTGCTTGTTCTAGTTTGTCTACTAGTTTTCGAAAATCTAAATCGGGTTCTCGAATTGAAGAAGGATGGGATGCTCTCTTTTTTATTGCTATTTTCCTTAATTGTGGTGTTAAGGTCATCATTAAGATTTCTGTCATCTTTGTGTTTTTATAGTCATGTGTATTTAATGAATATGCTTTTCGAACTAGTGTTTCGATTCGTACTGCTATTTGCTTGATGGTTTCGTTTGGTAATCTGCGAATTTCATTACATAAAACTCTTTGTTGTTGTTTGTTTCTTTCGGAGTCAAACATTTTTGAAAATTCCTGTGTAAACCTTTTCCAGTTTGATTTTATTTCTAGAGGTAGTACTGAAAACCATTTTTGGGCTGCGCCATCTAAGGTTGTTTGTATTAACGCTGTGCGTCGATGTATCCAGTTTTGATGTAGTGGCGTATTAATTGGTTCAGGTCCAATATTTAAAATCAGGTTTGCTGTTACTGCATTTAAATAATCTTCTACAGAGTATTCAGGGTCTGTTCCTGTGAAAACCATTAAAGGTTTGTTTGATGTTATTGATGATCCACCCATAAGGTATGGATTCATTGTCATTTGTAATGATTCTGCTGCATTTGGCATTTGAGAAAAATTCGAAAGTTGGTTTCTTGTTATTTCATGTTGTTGGAGATAATATGGGAGTGGTATTTCATTTTGCATTTGTGATGCTTGATACGAGTGTGCAGTCATTGGATTTTGTTGTTGAATTGGTTGAAAAGATTGTGTATTAATTAGGTTTTGTTGTTGAATTGGTTGTTGATGTTGTGCATCTATTGGTTGTGGAGAAAAATTTCTATGATTTGTACGTGTTCTCTGTATTCCTTGTCTACGATATTCTTGAGTATTTGGTGCAAATATATCTGGTTGTAAGAAATCATCATCTGAGGATAAATAATCCATTTGATAAGATGTCTGTTTTTTATTTTTATTTTGTTGAAAAAATGGGTAATTTTCACTGTGATCCTGTGGAGGATTTGTTTGGAAATTTATTGAATTAGGTTGGGTCATTGGGTTATCCCAATTTCGAAATCTTGTATATTGGTTAAAATTTCTTTGTGGTTGGTTATATGTTTTTGATGGATGTGTATAATTATAATTATGGTCTGTAAAGTTGTTTCTAGTGAATGTTTTGCGTGTTTTTGATGGTATTGTCATGGGTCTGTATGTTTGGTAATCCATATGTGAATATTTAGGAGCAACCGAAGGTTTAACGGTTGATTGTAAGGTTACCTGTGTTTGTGAAGGATTTGTATTTCTTGGTGTTGTTAAATTTGGGCGTATTGGTGAAATACTTTGCTGTGTAGTTGTTGTGTGTACAATTTCTTCATTTATGAAGTGTGATGGTGTCTGGATATCTTGTTGAGTAAGATTCCTAGTTCCATTGAGGTTTTCATTGTGTATAACTGTAGAGTTTAAACTATTATTTTGTGTATCGGGCAAAAATGTATTATAGTTTAATGGTGTTGCATCAATGGTTAATGGTATTACTTTTACATAATCTCTTATGTAAGATATCGTACTTATTGCTTGACTTGAGATTGATTGTGGGAAGCTTATAAATGCGGGATGAGACCATTCGGGGTCCCAAACATAATCTGATTGTTCTGTGATAGCGGTATCATCGTTCGAATTTTGGGGTCTAAAATTTTTTCTTGCTTGTGCAATTAAATCAATATTGTGTGTGAAATAATCTATTATGAACCATGCCAAAATTTTTTGTAGATCGTGTTTTGTATGTTGTGAAACGTCGTCTTTCGTGAAATTTTCTTTAATGATGTTTAAATAACTAGAGAGTAGTGTGATTTCATGTCGTACTTTCAAATGTTTAGATGTTTCTGTCGGTGAGACATTTGTTATTGGGATTTCGTTTTCTAATATCGAAATATAACTATATATTATTGCGAAAACTTCATTGGTGAATATGGAGTTTGCTCTTTGTGAGTTTTGATATTGGATGCTTTTTATATATTCTGAAAAAACTTTTGAAAATTCTAAATCAAGATCGTCTGTTTGAATTGTATATTTTCTATTATTATGGTTTGGTGAGGTGAATTCTATGGAGTAGATTCCATACTGTTGCGTTATGTTGCATATATCTTTTAAGTAGTGGTCTATGATTTGTCTTTTGATTTTTACATCTGGGAACTCTGTTTTACATGGACTGATTCCGGGTTCAAATAAATTTAATAGTAAATTTTTGCAAAATATATGCTGTCCTCTATCAGTGGTTGCATCTACGATAAAGGGGAAAATATCATCATCATCTGGACTTTCTTCACCTGGGGTGTGCGTTGAGCTCATTTTTTCGTTCGATGACTGTTAATATGTAATTGTCAATGTGTCTAATTGGTTGATTCCAATTGTATAAATGTACTGGTTTGTGTTTATACTGCTTTTTTATTCTTCTTTTTCCTCTTTTTGATGAATTTGAAGTTGTTTCTGAGTCAGAGAAATATAATTGATCGTGAAGTGGGCAATTTTTATCTATTGATTCTTTTAGTTTGTAAAGTTCGTCTAAACTGTTGGTTTCTGATTCTGAAAATGCGTTTCGATTTTTTGAAAATCTTTTTCGTGTTATTTGTCTTTGTTTCGTTATTATTTTTCTTTTTAGTGTTTGTCGTTTTGTTCGAATGTATCCAACTGTTTGTGTATGAGGTGTGATTACAAGGTCGTATTTTTTGTTATCTATTTCACAATTGTGTAAAACGATTGTTTGTTTATTTCCTAGGTTTTTAAATGACATAAGGTTTAGGATGACGGATGCAAAAGGTTGTTAAATGATTTCTATTTTCCTAAACTGTTAGTTCTTACGATTTTTTGGTTAGCTTAACCTGGGTCTATTTGTTCAGGGTTGGAGAGAAAAGTATATCGATTCCGAAGAATGATTTTTTACTTTCTCGTGGCTAGTATAAGTTAAGTTGTTAACTTACTTAATCTTACTTAGGGGTAGTGATTGTGTTCAAGGGTTGGAGAATAGTAAATCGATCCACAAGGTTCAGGTATAATTAGAACGCGAGTAGTTCGTTAGATACTATTTTAAACTTACTAAGTCTAAGATTTATCCTGGGTCTGGTAAGAGGGGGGGTCAAGTGAAGGATGAATAACCGAAGTTCTTCACTGTTTATCCTAATTTGAATGATTAGTTTTGTTTAAAAATTTCTATTAGTCTTGGGTCTTTAGAAAGGGTTGGGTAGTGAATCGACGTTTGAGGTCGTTAGACACTAATTAAGTGGGTGGGGGAGAACAAAGTTGTTCTGTTTGATCCAAGGATAAGCCTTGATGATCAAATTTGAAATTTAATTAAGTAGAAAATGATTTAAGATCCAAGGATAAGCCTTGATGATCTGGTTTTAAAATTAAGTGAATTTAAGTTTTAATAAAATTTTAAATGTGTGTAAAGGAAAGATTTAGTGTTTTGATGATATTAGTGGGTTTATGATTGCTGTTATGTTTTAGGTGATGGAGCTGGAACAACAGGATGATTTATGATTACTAACCATTTATTGTCATGCTACTAATTTTTATTTTTTATTTTTCAATAAATATTTTTCAAACATGTTTTGTATATTACTGCAGAGTTTTAGGAAAACGATCTTAGATCTTTTTATCAATCGTTATTGTATATTAATAATTTTGTTTAGCGCCTGAAATGATTTTGAAGATTAACTTCAAGGTTTATGTTTGCAAATGAAAATCTAAATTCATTGCCAGTAGTATTCTAAATATAAAAGTTTGTGTTGGCTTTTGCCGAACTATCATATAACTATATGGCAAGTTTCTACTTTGTCGTATGTCGTCTCTGGTTCGAGGTCTTCTTCCAATTCCGGGTAGTTCTGTTATGGTTCGGAATATTGGCTCTGATCTATTGAGTCGTAGAGACATTTCGATTAAATTATTGTCGTATAACATTTTGTAAATGTTTTTGTCTAATTTCTAGTCTATTTTGGTTAATTCTAAGCTATTAAGGTCTTGTTCGAGACTTATGGTCGCACCAGATGAGTTAGGACCGAGTTGGTTAACTCATAGAGTAATTTCGGATAGGGTACACCGTCTGCTCGTCACGCTATCTTATTTTCGGCCGGATAGATTCGTGCAACTTCTTAGTCTAATACCGATCCTAATCTTACTCTTATACTATCTAGTCTCAGGTTGTTTAACTAGTCTCTGCTAGGCTCAATAGATCTAGGGTATACTGGTTTATTGCGGCTGCTGAAGCGCTCGGGAGAGTCCAACTAATTTCTAAGTTAAATTCAAATCTCTCTGGTGCTGAAATTACAAGTAACTTCAGCACTTACAAATAAGTGGGTTGTTAGTTAGATGGATCATGATTGGTTAATATTAAATACTTTACATTGGTAAAATATCTAAATTATCCAATCATAAAATGTAGTTTAGATCAGGTTCCACGTGTTATAAATACCCCCTGAAGATTAATATATATTGGCGCCAAAGGCATGTTCAGGAAAACTAAGGGTCGTTCGACCAGAAATGATAGTCTTTAAAATAGAACCAAAGTGAGCCCTTTAGGACGGCCAGGGGTCGAATTCCTTATGGGAGCCCCTCACCCCTAAATCCGCCACCTAAAGCGTCGCAAAAAGGACAATATAGCGAGGAAAACATTGCTATACGATTTACCGTTATAATGTCTGTCTGGTTCTTGGTGTGAGGGAGCTTCGAAATCGCCCTGAGTTCCCCAGGGTGCTGGTTTATTCTTCTCCGCCAGCATGGCCTCCCGGTGGTGATTGGTGACTGGCTTGCACTCCGGATTCTGGTCATAAAACTCTTTCTGTCTGTTCATTGATGCCGTCAGAGATACCTGTAGCATGCATGTCAATATTAGTACGGATGCTGGATGGCTTCCAAGAAGTTATACTCTGAGGGCTGTCTTCTCAGAAAATTGACAATGAATGCTGCTTGATGTTTACAACGAAACCATTTAATCACGGACTGCAAGAATCATGTTTTGCAGGTGTAATGACAAGCAACTCTGGTATGAGTTTTTGCGAATAAACAAAATTATCGGATTTTTTCAAGTTCGCATCACCCGGAGAGAACCCGCAGAATCTATAAGTGAGATAAAGAAAAAAAAATATAACATACTGCACGTGAACACTCGGATGAAAACAAGTTCGGTCTAATTACTTGAGAGTTTTGATCACGAGACTGTTTCCGGGAATTGTGGTTTGCACCGGCGCCCAGCATGGCCAACTCATCGCCAACTGCTGTGTGTTTGACATCTGCAGATGTTCCCCATGGCACGGAAGAAGGACCTGGTTTCATAATAGAAATCTATGTCGATTAGATTGCACTCTTGTTTGTCATAGGGTTAATAAGATTTAAAATGAAATGTAAACAATTCGCAAAAAGGAAAAGCTACAGTTTAAAATGTTCAGAACATAAAAATTTAGATCTTTTAAATATTCAAAATCGTTCGAAAAATTTTTTGAATAATTTCTTTGTTTGGCCTTTGAGTGGCCTTGCAATTGTTTTCTTAAACTAATTGGAACGCGAAATGAACTCGACCAACGCAGAATTCCGACTTCAATATATGCACTAGTTCGACTTCAGCCAGCGAAATCAAAGTTAGAAACTCAGTCGAAACTCTCGTGTTCATTTAAATCAGATGGTCGGGATTAAATGATTGGGACTTTTGTCAATTTAATGGCCGGAGCAAACTTATATATAGCAATCTAAGTGAAAAATCATGATCAAAACAAAGAACTACAGGTTTTTCAATGGGCTTCTAATTGGCACACATGCCAAAATGTCGGTTTTCTTAACACTTAAATATTCAATATACAAATTTGGTAACTAATTATCATCTACTTTTGAACCAAATTTGGCTTGCAAACTTATAAACCAATTTCTAAGCTATTTTCTGTTAGTTTGTAGCATCGTCGTAAGATTAGTGGTGAGAGTACATAATAATTTTTTTTGCGTGATCTTATATCCAAAACAGGACATTATGACTTAGTTTGAGGACTTACCTGAGGCAACAGGTGGCTCAGTTCCTGATCTGGGCTCTGCTGCCTCGTAGTTGATAGAGAAGAAGTCATTCTCGTTGGCCTGCTGGGGTTTGATTGCTCTGAAAATCAACTAGACTTAACTGAAGTTACTAAATTAGCGTTGAAACCGTTCAAAAAGTGTAGTGACTTATAAATAAAAATTGTTATTATTAAATTTTTACAATTTACGTTATTACAATTCTTTATTTTTAAAATTTTTGTTTGAACTTTACTTCTCAAAACTTTTTGATGTCGGGTAGGCGCTAACAAAAGCTGTAGAAAATACAACGAGCTTTGTTTACGTGTAAAAATTGCAGACTGAACTCAGGAAACACAGGTAGAAGGTTCGCGTCTGGCTTCGATTTGTTGTTTTTACGTTGTGCATCTCTTCAACAACTATTTGTTGTTTAATTTGCCTGAATTTAAATCCAATTCTGAACGCCTATTAGCAGACTGGACACTTTTCCACAAAAAACTAGAAATAAACTTGCAAAAAGGATAGCCGGTTACTGTGTAAGTAGCACAGAATGTTCCGACAGTCTTAGAAAAATGCAAAAACGTTTTCTCAATTTGGTGTCGTTTTTCTCTGCATGTTATGATAGAAAAACCTGAGCAAAAAAAAAGAAATTAGGCATATTTGAGAGTCATAATAAAATAGATTTTGGGGAAAAATGACTAGAAAAAACTTCAAAAACTTCAAAAACTTATAGTTTTTTGCGGATTTTTTTTTGAATTTTCGAGTTTTTGATTCCCAAAGTTGCGCTAAAAAGTTGCACCGAAGTTGCGTTTAGTAAATTTTACGGCTTAAATTAAGCTTAAATAAGCTATTTCATTTACTACTTCCTTGCTAATTAGCTCGAAATTAGACAAAAAAAATTAAAATTTCAAACCGGTTTTTCTCGACACTGTGATTTTTTTTTGAATTTTTTTAAGGTCATTCAAATCACGACTGAAAGGGCTTTAATCACTAGACCCTGTCCGTTGATTATTTGTGGTAGCTGAATTTGCGTGGAAAACAAAAAATAAACTAAAACACACCCGAATACAAAAACTCTCCCCATTTTTAATGGTCGGAACAATGAGTAATTATTTCCATCAGATATTTCAAAAGTTTTCAATTATACAAAAATTCGCCATGCAACCAACTTAGTTTTAAATTTTCTTTACTCGGCCGCGTTTTTAAGTAAGTTGTGAAAAACTTTAAGCTGTTTGTGCGTGAACAATTGGGAGATAGTTAGAGATGTATGTGAGGTGTGAGAAAAAAAACCCAAGGACTAAGTTTTTGTTTGTGCAATCACGACACGAATATGAAAACATTGCCTAAAAATCACAAAAGTACCTTGTAAATTAAAATACGCCCTAAACCTTTAATAACATTGCCAACAGGCAGTTTGAAAAAATCAAAGAACGTAAGTTAAAAGAAAAAACACTCATTCGTTTTTTAAAAAATCTCAATTTTCAAATTTCGAAGAAAAAAAAGATGCCATTAAAGTCCTTTGAAATTTTAGTACAGTTTATTATTGGCATTTTTGATTAAAAAACCCAAATCGAGAAAATTGGATCAAAAAGTAAAACTTTTATTTCGCTGTGAAATCTGAAAATTAAACTCCACCTTCGAAATAAGTTGATCACGTTTTTCGTGACTTTTACATTTTTGCTGTTCGATAGTGAAGTTTGCCTTTTTTGTTTCTTTTCCAGTTCCCACCCCCTTTCAATTTCAATTTTGAAAAGCTTTATTAATGTTGTCATAATGAAATGAAATTTGGCACGGTGAGCAAATCGTCAACTTGAACAGATTTGTTTTTCATACATAACAGCGTAACATCACGCATTTAGCCGTAATAACACGTAAAACAAACATAAAATTCGGTATTTTGAAGAGGGGAAACTGGAAAAGAGCCCTTTTTTGAACAAAAAAAAATGAACTAAATTGAAAAAGAACTTGAAAGTTAACTCGCGAAAAGATGAAATTGTGCCTGAACCTATTTTAGGATTTTTCTTGAAAAAAAACACAGAAAGTCATCGCGGCCTATTTAAAAATCTAATTACGGTCCTTGACTCGTCAAAAGTTTTCAGAGCATTTTGATTTGATGAGATCGTTTTTCGGCTCTTCCTCGCTTCAAATAAAAAAGATTTTTTTTTCTTGATTATTGTGACTGCAGATAAATAAGTTAATTTAGAGTTTGAAAAAGATTCCAATCTCAGTATTTGAGATAAATGGCAGCTTCATTATTTGAGATGATTAGCTATTTCAGTTTTTTAGATGAAGCATTATTTCAGTATTTGAGATCAACAGTGTTTTTTCAGTATTTTGTATGTTGAGGAGGGTTACAAATTAATGAAAATTGAAACTGAATCAAGATTGAAAGAATATGTAACCCCATTTTTTGTACGGTGAACAAGTTTCTTCATACACCTTAGCAAAAAAATGGAAAATGAATGGGATTATTCACAACTCGGTTCCGTATTTTGCTAACCTTTTTCCTGTTCCCCGATTCAAGCCAGAATCCTGGTAGAAGTTCTTCTGGCACCTGCTGTCAGTCATTTCCAAATAATATTTGTCGTCGTTTAGAGTCCCAGCTGCTCAGCTAAAACACAAGTTAAATTGTTACGTCAAATTTCAGTCACATTTCCTTTTCAGTTTTTTGAAACGAAAGTATAACTATTGCAATTTTTTTATTTCTTTTTTTTTTTTGGCAATAGTCAATGTCCTCATTCTCATCAGAGTCAAGGGGTTTGTGAAAATTAAAGGAAAGTCTTGAGCCACTTTAAATATATAATTTTCAATGATTCAGTGCACTTTTTTTCAAACATACTTAAACTATTACTCACCTTGAAATAAGATATCTGCAAAATGGCTTCTTCTATGATTACTACAGCAGGAGCGTATCACTCTTAATGTGCACCGTTGTTTGACGGTTGTAATTTTTACAGTCTAAATGCAGATTCTAATACACGTCGAATTGAGCTGGTAAGCTTAATGGATCTTTTCTCAATGGTTCGATTTTTTCATGCAAATATATGGTACACAATTTAAATGGTTTTGTACAACAATGTTTACAATTCAGATATGTGCATTTAAGAACCAATTTAAAAAAGCACGTGCTTTTTTTACTAAGTTCACACAAGATGCACAGGATCATTTTATTGGCTGGTTGTGACGTCTGAAAAAAGATGAATAATAGATTTATTGTTGGACAGTTTAATAACAAAACATATAGTACAACTTTTATGATAAAAAAAATTGCAAGATCTCCCCCCCGCTTGCGAAATATTACAAATATTTTTTTTCCACATGTTCCGATTCTTGTTGCAAAAATTGGTATGTGGACTAGTTATGCCATGACAAAAATATTTGGTCTTGTTTGAGAATTTACCTTGTACAACCCAAGATTACACCATAAAAATGAAGCAAGCTTACGTGAGGCTCTTTTTCCCTCCCCCCCCCCACCTCACGGCAGCTTCAACTTATTAGTGTAACGAGTGGTTTTACGAGGTTGAGTATGAAGACCAAATATGTTTGTCGTGACCTTATTGGTCTGTATGTAAATTTTCATAACAATCGGACAATGTGGTCAATAAATTTACATGTAAAAAATTGCAGGTGGGGGGGGGGAAGGAAAAAGAGCCGGGGGGGGGGGGGGGGGGGGTTGGGTGGTGGAGAGTGAAAGGAAAAGAGCCAAATTACAATATTAGCTGGCAGCATGTTGAAAAAGTTGCAACTAACTATCTGGAAAAATGTGTTTGTTTTTTTATTATATTGATGGTTTTAAAAACGTCAAAAGGGAGCCGTAATGGTTCCTAAGAGCTCACTTGACTGGAAAACAGAGTACTAGAGAGCCGGTTGGTTGTATGGTAATTGAAGAAATCTAATTCCGGTCATATTCTTATATTAAAGAAACAAATGCGAAGAAAAAAGCTACATAAGTAATATCATACCGTAAATTTATTGCTATCAAACTTTGAGATTTCATGTAAAAAATGCAATTTCCTGTCTCATTAATTTTACTTATTATTTTATTGGTAGCATAATCAAAGGCTACTTTATAAAGCTACTTTGTCAAGCTACACTTTATGACCTAGAATCAGTTTTAATTTGACTGACCTACAAATTCAATGACGTGAAATAAAATTGTCAAAGTTTGGTAGCAAGTGTTTCACGGTCGGAAATTATACAAAAGAGCGAAATACTTCAAGAAAAATAAGTTATTGGAGTCAAAATCATCCCTTAAAAAAATGGAAGCACGCTGGAAAAGTAAGACTTTTAGAGCTTTTAATTTGTCAGAAAAATGGGATTTTTTTGTTTTCCCACCCCCTCGTAAAATAGTTGTTAGAATATCTTTAATTTGCGGTTAACAGAAGAGACGTCAGAAAAGCAACGGAATTTTAAAATTTCTAATGCTTTTTGATTTTTTTAGAGTTTGGGTCAAAATTGGAATCTGTTTGCCCGAAGTTTTCATTAACTTATCAAACGCGAACTTTTGAACTTCAAAAGTCATTTTGATTAGATTTTCGAAAATGAATTGCAGCAAAAATCAAAAGATTGAGAAAATTAAAGAACCCCAAAATGTAAGAAATGAGGGGGGAAACCTTAAGACAAAATCAAATTAAGTCTGCAACCACGAAAAGGGCACAACTTTTTCTGAGAAAAGGCCCAAAAACTTTTATAGTAGGTTAGATTTATGCGGTTTACAGAAAAAGGGTTCTTTCTACCGTCTCCCCAGCGAACTAAAACTGATTCTTGTATCTAGGGGGTAGAAAAACTAGGAAAACTACTGGTTCAAAATTCAATTAACGAAAAAAAAGAAATAAAGATTTATTTAATTTTGCATCGGAAAAATTTCAAGCTTTTCTACCGTTCGTTCCCACCTATGATTTTTCTCACAAGTTTCCTCCGAGCTATTAGACAGTCACCAAAATTGGTAAGCATGTTTATTATCCAAATATGAATAGATCCTTTTTTTCATATAGAATTTTGTAAATCTGATGTGGGAGGAGAAGAAGTCAGAAGAGCGTTCAACTTTGGAAACTTGCAAAAATGTACCTACCTCACTGGTCATCGGGTACGAGAGCCAGTGACCTCAGTGTTCATCGATTAAGAGAGCCAGTTACCTCTGTGGTCATTGCGAAAGAGAGCCAGTGACCTGAGTGGTCATCGGGTAATTGAGCCCGTGCTCTCAGGGGTCATCGGGTAGGAGAGCCAGTGACCTCAAGGTCATCGTGTAAGAGAGCCAGTGACCTCAGTGGTCGTCGGTTAAGAGAGCTAGTGACCTCAGATGTCTTTGCTTAAGAAAGCCATTGATCTCAACTGGCATCGAGTAGGAGAGCCAATGACAAGAAGAGAGCCAAGGAAGAGTCGGATGCCGACTCGAACAGAATCCTATCGGGGAAGGTTGAAAATAAAATTTAAGTCGGGCTGGAAAAAAAATATTTTCACCAAAAAATCTGGGCTGACCTAACAAAGCGTCAAAAAAATATTTAAAAAGTTACAGACCCCTGAAACTACCGTTAATCAAACATGCTTGGCTCATTCAGTTCTAGTAGCTATAGAACACGAAGTAGTATTTACGGCAATTCTTAGCTGGTTGAGTAGATTTTGTTTTCGAGCTCGTAAATGTTTTAAAAGTACTCAAAAACACCTCTCGAAGGATGTTATTAAAATAACGGAATTAAATCTGAAAAAATCCATTGTGGAAAAATGATTATATTTTTTCAATGTGGGAAAGAACAATAATCGAAAATCAAGATTATCACTAATCAAATAAGTCAACTGTTTCCAGTTGTCAGTGGCTACAGATGGTCTGAATTTTGAACAAAGGAGCGGATTATTACTACACGGTGTGTTTTCTTTCAAGACAGTGTTGTTCTCAACATAATGTTGTTTAAAGACAAGTTTCGACTTTTCAACTAAAATTTTTGACAGAAATTCTTGAAAACAATTTTAAAAAACGTTACCTTGAGCTAAAAACTATTCCCTTTTCTCCAAAAATACGATAATTTGGACAACTATACAGAACATAAACAAGTGCAAAGTTATTGGTTTTTTAATGCGTGTTTTGGTGGCGATTAATTGGAGGGGGTAATTCTCCTCCAATTATTTCTCTTCCAAAATTCTCTCAGACAATGGCGCTGGGAAAATTCGATGAGAAAGTTCGACATGGCGGTGGGAAAACTCGGCGCCTGGCCTCGATACGTGGACCCTTGTTTCAAATATTTGATTCGAACAAGGGCAAACAGGTGAAGATGTTGGCTGTTTTGTCGCAAAAGTTAAAATAAGACAATGCAAGATTGATCGTAGCAGAATCAAACCTTGAATAGTCTGTCTGTCTAGTAACGCCATTCAAACAGGTTCAAAAAATCCTCTTTATCATAATACTTTAAAATCATTTTAGCCAGATTTGTTTTTTGATGTTCTCTCTCCCAAGACAATGAGGCAGTAATCCAGGTTTTGAAGCAAGAGAAATATATATGCCATAGGTTATTTTTTTTTACTGAGATCAAAAGAAATCAAAAGTTTAACGACCTTTTTTTAAGTCGACCCATTTGACTTTTCGAGCTCTCACAAATTACTATAGACCCCTATTTTGACCAAAGTTTTTGCACATTCGGCAAAATTTTGAAAAAACAGGCAAAAAAAATGGGAAATTTTGACCAAAAATTGCATTTTTCGGCGCTCACTTCCTCATCATAATTTGTGTGTATATGTATTTACTCGCTCGAAGTTAGACTAAAGCTGATATGTTTCAAACCTGGAAACCATTTTGAAGTTTGGTCGAAATAGACTCAAACTTAGTAATTTCTTTTTGTAGAGAAAACTCAACCATGTGTCATTTGCTGTGTCAAAAACGTGTCATTTACGACAAAACTCTTTGATAGTTTTAGTCATTTATTTTGTTTTATATGGCAATAACCTAATGAAAACTTAACATTTGAGTCGCGTTTGTCATTTTGATATTTATTGTTTATTATTTTCTTATACTTCTTTTCCAAATTCTAGTCTGGTTGACCGGTTATGTTTAATTAAAAAATACTTTCAACAGCTGTCACAAACCTTGCACAGAGCACTGTTTGGTCCTTCAGATGCAATTTAATTGACAGAAAAAAGAACAAAACCTTTCCGTTTTTAGCATTACTCGCAATTTTTTTAGCACTCTCTCAAAAACGGTTGCTATAATTTCTATGCAAGTCCCTTTTTTAGGCCATCTTGACTTCGTTTTGGTGACATATGGAGAAACATTGAAATCTTGAACTTTGAGTATTTCTAAGTCTCAAACCAGTTTTAGCAAATTAGAGGTCCCTTCCAGTTTAAAGGTCGTTGTTTATGAGTTATGACCGATGTGGTTAACTCATAGAGTAATTTCGGATAGGGTACCCCGTCTGCTCGTCACGCTACCTTATTTTCGGCCGGATAGATTCGTGCTCGTCACGCTACCTTATTTTCGGCCGGATAGATCTTACTCTTATATCTACTAGTCTCAGGGTGTTTAACTAGTCTCTGCTAGGCTCAATAGATCTAGAGTATACTGGCTTATTGCAACTGCTGAAGTTCTCTTGGAGAGGCAACTAATTTCTAAGTTAAATTCAAATCTCTCCGGTGCTGAAATTACAAGTAATTTCAGCACTTACAAATAAGTGGGTTGTTAGTTAGATGGATTATGATTGGTTGAAAGTAAATATTTTACAGTGGTAAAATATCCAATTTATCCAATTATAAAATGTAGTTTAGATCAGGTTCCACCCATCCGGGGTTTACAGAGTTTTTTAGAACTATCTTTCTTCTCTGCAATTTGAAGGATGGATGATGAACGTTGGTATTTGACAAACATCATTTTCCTGTCCGGTTCCTCTTGGAGAAGAACGTTCCAGGACGCTGGAATTATGGATAGAAAATTGTTACGTCGTCATTCGACAACTACTGTGATCCCCAATAAAATCAATCCGATTTCAAAATGGTTTGCTATGACAGGTTTTTCTGTATTATAAAGAGAACTTGTTTTGTGTCCAACCTCGTCTGGGAATGGTGTGAAGATCGTGTGTGGAAGGGATGCCTTGTAACTCGGATCTGTACGAATACTTGAACATCGAGGTGGTCATTG